GAACTGCTCCCAACAAACATGGAGGTTTACATCTGCGCTGTAACTGGAATAATTTAATCAACCGATTCGCACTACAACCTGGTTTGCCTCCTATCTGTAATTATTTTTATTTAATTTAATAACTGTACACTACTCTGTTTATAATAACCATTGTCCTTAATGTAAATATGTAAGAAAAATTGTGTATGTTTCTGCTCTGTGTCCTGTGTACTGTTTGTTTGTATATGTGTCTTTCTGGCTGCTGTTACAACCAAATTTCACCTTGTGGGACAATTAAAGGATTATTCTATTCTATTCTATTCTATTCTATTCTATTCTATTCTATTCTTCTAAGACAAGCCTTTGTGTTCCTTTACACAAACTGAACTCAGCTTTCCAAAAAATATGGTTAACCACAGTGAATTCATAATTTCACAAGTGGAGTTGGGGGATTTTTTCATATGGTAAGTTTTGATAGCTTTTTCTTCCCCTTGATAAATCAAGTCATGATTTATATGGGTCATCTTTTTGTAGTATATACAATAAATGAACACTTTTTCACATAAAGCATATTTTTCCCCGCTGGTGAATTTACAAGACGAGCATCGAAAACAAAAACTGATAGAAGCATAGAAACTCTTCAAGAAGCATCAAACACTAGAGCAAACTACAGCTTCAAAGAAATTCCTGGTCAGATGTCAAAACGAATGGTCCAAACAACGGTTTGTAAAATATCGCGATATTTGTTAAATCAACGCCGAATACTGACGTCACAAGTCACGTGTGTGTTTGTGAAGCTACAGTGGCGTTCACATCATCAGTTTGGCCATAGATTCGCAAAATGGACACAGATTATGCTGAATAAACCTCACCACAGAAAGGTACTGGGTTCTATGAGCACTCCGTTTAAATGTACGCTCTAGTCAGTTGTTTCTAAGTGAATTAAAATGTTATACGGCACTTGTTACCTACGAGGGCTCAGGGTTACGGTGTTGGCTAGCAAGGTTAGCTTGTTTGCTACGTAACCGCCGGGTTATCTCTGTGAGTGCTTGCAAGCAGGTACGGGGTTTAACTGACATCCCTGTCAGTTAAACGCTCGTTTGTAGCCATGCTAACGTAGTTGCTTGGTGATACTGTGTGGACTTGAGAGGCCTTAATCTGTCAGAAGTGGGTTACGTTGACGGGCGGACTGTCTGTGACTCTTGCATAGAAAGTTCCTGTGCGTCAGTACCGACTCCCGCTGCAGCGAGGATGTTTCCCAGCCTGGCCGCCCACAGACCGTGGCATGTTTTCCGCAGGGTCTCATTGCAACAGAGATCGTCCCTGTCACAGCGGCCCCCGAGGTTTCCGCAGCTGTGCCACGGTGAGCAGACTTTTACGTTAAGGTCATCTGTTCATTCTCTTGGTGTTTGTTTGAGAGGGCATGAAAAGCCAAGTTATGATTGTGTTGCACAGGTTGGCAAAGCGGAGGGCTACACAGCGTATGGTTCAGCCTCCCAGACTGCCGTGTAGTTTCTCTAGGGTTGGGCAAGGTCCAGTATTACTCTACCTCTGATACCGGTAAAGATGGGCCCCCAAAACCACCATCGGGTGATGCCCCCTCTGCAGCAAAGGTTTTATCTGGTGCTGCACAAGCCAGCCCAGAATCACCAGGTAAGAAACGTGAAGATTTCCATAAGCTCCATAAATTGTAGCTGTTGAGAGACTTGATATAAACCATTGTGATGTGCACAGGTTTTCCTTTATAATTAAGCATGTTTTTGTATTTGTTGCTTCTCGTGTCAACACAAACAGTAGGAAACAGTTAAACGATAAATGTATGATTTGAGGAATGTGCAGTTAAGATACTTTATTTGTTCTAATAGGTGCAACACCTAAGGGTCTGACTAAAGCAGAGACAATTCAAGTGAAAGGTAAAGAAGAACATTTGTGAATCCATCACGTTAAACTCATTTAAAATAAGAATGTGGGTGTGATTGGGTCGCTTGAGTTTAATTTCCCACTGTGGTCACATGCAGTTCGTGCTGTCCTGAAGAAAAGGGAATATGGAGCCAAATACACTCAGAACAACTTCATCACTGCAGTCAGAGCGATGAATGAGTTCTGCCTTAAACCAAGGTAACTCCTCATCCTCGGTTGTTTAACATTCAATGTTTGCTTTATACAACAGCACCAAATTGTAAATCATCAAAGCTAAGCTGAGTGTTTTCTGCTAACTTAGATGCTGGTAGACAAATTTCTTTTGGTTAATAAGGAAGTGTGCTGCTGTGATTAACTAATGTAAGACTGTCTCGTGCAGCATGGGTCTAACTTAAGTCTCACCCTCACGTGTTCACAGTGATTTGGAACAACTCCGGAAGATCAGAAGGCGCAGCCCCCATGATGACACAGAGGCTTTCACTGTCTTCCTGCGCTCAGACGTTGAGGCCAAGTAAGTGTTAAACACCTCTGCTTTCCATCTTAAGCACAAATACATTACAACATCTCCCAAACGATTACTGCTTAATCCAGAGACTTCACTGATATTTTTCTCTTAACCCCTGTTAATTCAGTTATTTCTCTTTGTTATTAGAGCACTAGATGTTTGGGGAAGCCATGAAGCTCTGGCCAGAGAGAGAAACCTCAGGAAAGAGGTGGAGCGAGAGTACCAAGAGAGTAGGTTTTTATCTGTGGTCTTAATCCAAAACAGTTCAACAGGCTTTGAAATGTCAAAACTTTTTGCTAATTTATAGAAAACATTTCAGTTGGAATACGTAGCCACAGTGTACCGAGCACGCTCTTTTTGCTCACCATATTACTCTAAAACCTCTGACAGATGCTCGTGGAACCT